TCCCCCAGGTTCTGGGACAAATTTAATACCATGTAATTCTCCTTATAAACTTTTTTATGTCTCAATCTTGGTATTTTCCTCACTAAAAATAATATTATGACTGTGCTGTGGGCTTGATTTTATTTTTGTTGGGCTTTCTTTTCCTTTCGCTTAAGGAAAGGTGTCTTCTTTAGTACATGAGCTATTTGTTTTGTGAGAAATGAAAGTTATTAATCCTAAATGATTCTCATAAACTATTCGTAAACATTATTTATTCCTTAGTATTTGAAATAATTTAAAAATATGTATTTTGAATCAACTCTTTTATTACAAAAGGCTTGAAATTTTATGTTCATCCATACATGCCCTAGTCAAGCCCTAATAAATTATTAGCACAGTGGACATGCCCTTTATTAAGCTATTACATTGGGTTTACATATTGGGTTTAAATATCACAGAAAAGAGAGAGAGAGCGTGCATACCTTGTTTAGGCTCTAGAATATCATCTCCCTTTGCAAACTCTTGGCAGAGCCATTATTTTTTGAGAATAAACATCTGATCGAGGCTATTTCTATTTGGAAACATTCGTTAGAGTTTTGATACTCAATGTTGTGTGTCAAGCAGTAGCCTTGACATAACCTGGGAGATCATTGGACGTGCAGTCCCAGACCATCTGAATTACGTTCTGCATTTTAATATGATCTGCAGGTGATTCATACTCACCTTACAGTTCAAGAGGCCTTAAAGCCCCTGACTCAATTTGATTGTTTTCAATTATAGAAACCAAGACAAAAATTTTTCTTTCAAAGGAAAGATGAGCTAATGTATTAAAACAACCTCTGAAAAAAAACTGGGAGTCCTATGTCATTAATTACTTTCCTCTCCGCCCATATTAAGGTGGTAAGACTTGTATTATGAAGCTAAGAGTGAACATAGATGTCTCAAGCTACTCAAGAAGCAAATTCTCTTGACAGTAGTAGAACAGCCCTTTGGGTTCCTATGACTTAATTCTTGTCACTAGAACAAAATAACAGGTTGTTTTTTTTGTTTTTTTTGTTTTTTTAATTTATAAATCTAATTCAGTCAGAGTAAGTAATAATGAAGTGTCTGTAGACTCTGCTATTTAGTTCAGTTTTGAGAGTGGAAATTTCCTCCCCTAATTTCCTCTCTGGCCATTGTGATAATTTCAGAATATGTGATTATCAAACAAGTAATGAAAGATCATTCTGTTGTGGTAGAAAACAAGAATTAGGAGGAGCTAATAATCTGGGAAACTAGACTGAACACACTCATTCCCTATTTAAGATACAAAATGGTACACAGAGAATTGGCCCATTACTGCTTTTTTATTTTACTTTAAGGTTTGTGTGTGTCTGTGGCGGGACTCGAGTGAGAAGCCCAAAACTTATTTTGACTTTTGTACAAGAGAAGAATGATTGTAAAGTGCCATGTGTGCTTTTGTCATTGTTTTAATGATGCAGTTCGCTTTAGAATTTGAATTTTGAGCTCAGGGTATTATGGATCGGTAGGTTCAAATAATTTTCAGGTCAAAAAATATAGTTGCATTAAGTGTTTATGATGTGAGAATGTATTCGATGCTTCTTTCAGATTTTATGATGGAACAGTTTAATTTTGAGGTTCTATGTTCCCTTTGGAAGCTTATAGACTCACTAATTGAAACTAAGTAATGACTCACTCAGTTTTGTAACCTTAGATTAATGAGTTTTTTGAGAAAACTAAAGAGCTAAAATCTCTCCTAGGGAAATGAAAATTTTTCTTTTTGATTCTTTATGCAGTTTCTCTGGAACGTGAAGATTAAGGGCCTTAGAAATTATATTAGTGTCACTGCAGTAGAGAATTTAATTTCTCTATTTAATCTGTGTTTTGAAGTGGACACTAATATTTCTACCCATGTCTATTTTACAGTAAAGTTTGAAACACAGAAATAGGATTTACCATAAGAACATAAGCAGTGGGAGTTAGAATCTTGGGTATTATTCCCAGCTCTGGCACCCACTAGCAAATTACATCATCTTGTGCTTCAGCTTTTTGATAAATGTAGATAATAATGCTACCCACTTCAGAGGATGTTCGAGAGCTAATGATGTCAGCGAAAGCCCTTTATGATTGTGGAAGAGGGACGATCTGAGTGAAGCTTGTGACAGTGCCTGGATTTATATAGCAATTTTCCTTCTTAAAGCGTATACACATTCTCATTTTATAATTCTTATATCTCTGTGAAATAGGGAAGGACAAGTAACAGTTTCTCCATTTAATTAACAAGGAGATTGCGACAACTATCAAATGACTTGCCTGGTTGGAGCCTGCACTAGAGTTGAGTATCCTGCAGTCTAATGCAGTGATTAAAGATTGAGTTCTGGAATTAGACCTGGCTTCAACTCTGGTCCTTTTCCTTACCAGCTGTGGGAACAAAGCAATTACTGAACATGTATAAAACTCAGTGTCCTCTACTGTAAAGTGGAGATTGTGAGGATTAAATGAGATCATATACATAAGTTGTTTAGCACAGTGCTTGCCACATGAGAGAGCTAGATAAATGTTAGCAACGCCTGTTATGTTATCGGTGAAGGATATGGCTGTTTGGATAGATATAACTATGGATCAGTGGAAAGTGCTCTCTCGATTTTGAGCCAGACCTGGGTTTGGATTTTCATTCTATCACTTAATAGCATCGTGGCCACAAACAAGTCACTTCTTCACTTTCTATGTCATCATCTGTCCAATAGGAAGGCTGTAATAGATATATGTATAGATATATATACTTTAATCCTCCCAACAACCTTGCAAGGTAATCATTTCTGTTAGACAGATTAGGATATATGCGTGTGTGTGTGTGTGCGCGCGCGCGTGCATGCGTGCACCTGGCATAGTACATGACATATATATGTGCTTAATAAATGCTGTTTTTTTAATCGACATAGTTGACATTAGTTTCAGGCATACAACATAATGATTCAGTATATGTGTATATTGCAAAATGATCTCCGCAATAAGTCTTGTTAACATCTGTCACCAAAATATCCATCATAATGCCGTTTGAACCAAGAAAATCGACTAGATTTTACTTTGGGGCAGCATTTCTTTCCATTTGTTTTCATCGTGAACATTTCTGAGAGCCTTTTGGTGTATCTCTTCAAAACGGAAGCCAAATCTAGTAATTTTATGTTTTATTCAGTATTCAAATTAAGTCCCCCAGATATTTATTCATTAATCAGTAAAATACAAACTGGTTGAATAGCAGAAAGTCACTGGCTGAGCAGTGTCTCACCTTGGCTACCTGGAAAAGCTAAAGAAGAGCGACTTCATGCAGCCAAATGCCACACAGCTAAGGGAGAGCCCTCCCTTTGGGCAGGTGAATTACTTACCTGGCGGTGTTGAATGTCACCAGAATACCAAATATATACAAAGACTCATTTGTAGGATACTTATGTTTCTGATAAATAAATATAATTGATTGTGACTCTACAGGGTTTTTGCCACTATAGAAATGAAAGGGCTTTGGGTTAGTGCTGATGTTTGTGGGGCTTACTGGTAGCCCCTGAAAAGTATGTTCAGTGGGACATCAGGACAAGAAAAAAAGTTTTCCATGGGCTGGGTGAGAGAAAAAAAAGAAAAACTATTTAAAGACAGAAAATGAAAAGGAAGTTAGGAGATGAATATGAGTATTAGAGAGGAAGGGACAACGCACCAATACCTAGCACAGCACTCAAAGAAGACACACAAAAAATGTGCGACAGGTGCATAGACTGGGCAGTGCACCATGGAACCCAGCAAATGAGATTTAATCTATAACGACACCAAAAGGGAAGGAAAACTCGGTTTGGAACTAATCATGAGAGTGGGTAATGGAACTTCCATTGTAGAAGTGAGTGCCTAGGAAATGCCAGGCACGATTGATTTATGTAGAGCTTGATAGCCTTTTCATAACTAAGTATATGAAGTTCATTCCCACTAACAGATGAGTTAGTTGAGACTTAAAGAGTAACTTATCTGTGGTCACGTACCTAATGAATGAGTGTCAGGATAAAATTTATGTTGACTCCAGAACTTTCTATATTCCTCAGATGTCCTTAAAAGTAAGCCTTCTAAGCTTGTGTGTGTGTCCCTTTTACAATCTAGAGGGACATAAGATTGAAGATGTGTGATTCTTTCTGTAAGGAACTGTCCGTACCCAGACATGATACCACAAGACTTAAGGGAAGCCTGTGGCCTCTGTACCCAAAGTAGCTCCTTGAACCCATGCTGTGTTCTCGCCTCAGTGCCTTTCTTTATGCTTTCCAGTGTGTCGGGAATCTTCCTACTATTGAATTCGTGCCTTTCTGGAACTTTGCTCCCTCTGCCCCCCAAAGATTTTTGTACTCCTGTGATACTTGTGCTGCGTCTGTGGTTGCACCTGCTACGTTATGTTTGGGATTGCAGTAGTCCAGGTATATCTCTGGCTTCCCCTAGATATCACATTCTTTCAGGGCAGGAAATGAGTCTCTCACGGAGCAGAGTGTCTCACTCCCTGATAGGCACTCAGTTGTTGCATGAGTGTTTTTGACTAAAGACAGTGCTGACCTTTCTCCAGTCAAATCAATCTGTTAATTAGGAGTTTACATGTTTTTAGAATTCTTGTGCTCTGGTGTTTTTCTGGTTGTGGTGAGGTTTCACATTTCTTTAATTAGTTCACACGTCTTTGAAGTATATTTTATTTTGTTAGTCGCTTGGCTTTTTTAACCTTCAAATATTCCGGGGTTTTTTTTTTCTTTTTTCTTTTTTTGCTTTACTGGGAGTCACCAAAATTGTCTACCTTAGTGGTATCATTTATCTAATTCTTTCATGTGTATTTCATTCTTATTTTGCATTCGTTATGGGGAACCCACTGGCAGAGTAGATGGCCAGCCAAGTAGATGATTCCTATGTGGGTGTTATATGGAGGCCCATATAAAATTGCAAATTCCTATTTCAGGAATAACATTCTATTCATTTGTTTAAGAAATCGTTTTTGATTACCTGCCACATCCAAACCCTATGCTGATTGCTGGGATTATCCAGAAAAAGAATACTCAGTCTCTGCCCTAATGTGGCTCATTTTCCAGCATGGGAGTCAGACAGAAAAACAACTTGACTTCTACCACTGATGAGTTCTGATGAGAAATGTAAATGTTCAGAGGAGCTTTGGGAGCATGGAGAGGCGGGGCCCAACTCGGTTTGGGTTTCTGTCATCACAAGGCAACGTTTGAATTAGGAACACACCAAGTGGTGGGTGTAGAACCTTCTTGACAGAGGAAGTAAATAACATTTGCAAAGTAGAAAGAGGATAAAGCTTTATTGTTTGCACTTTGGTTTGAATCCTGTGAGTTGAACACATGGTGGAATGGGGGAGGGGCAAGAGCATGCGGCCATGAGCCTGAGCAGAGAGATGAGGTGACGGAGCAGGACTCCCGTCCTCCTTAACAGATTTGTCTACCGTTAGACCTGGGTCTAAAGAAAGAAGATACGTTCCCTGTACTCTGTGAATTTCAAACCTAATTTTAAATACACTTTGAAAATTAGACGTAACATGAATCATTTGGTTCTAGCCCTATGAATATTAGCCACCAAGAGCAGTTGAGGCTTACTGTGAATGGCTGTGACTGTCAAGGTCTGGACTTGTAACTTATCTTGATCAACGTGGAAATGTTTACTTGGAAACTAGTTCAGAGCCTAGTTGAGACTAAAACCTTGAGTACTCTATCATGCATTTGTTAGTGTATTAAAAATGATAAAAGCAGTGAAAATGAAAGGGGGATTTAAAAATTAAGTCCTCTTTCTTTTTAAATTTGCAATTAATTTATAGGTATGATATTTACAGGTTTTTTTCCTCACACATTCTTATTTTATTCTTTCTCGTGAGATTTATTTTAATAACTTTCATACTGTATAGCTAGGAAAGAAGAGACACATATTTAGCTCAGGACCCATAGCAAAGGACTAGGAGTCAAAAACAGGAATTTAGACCTCCTGATGTTCTATTCAATAATATTTTCCTCGTTTGTGCTGCTTAGAGATATCCGTATTTTTTATTTTGGTTTAAAATTTTTCTTATAGCTTTTTTTCATCATAATACACTCATTATAAAAGCTTTAGAAAATATAGAAAAGAATGAAGAAAATAAAGATATATTCCTATATATATGTGTATAGATAGATATAAACCTATAGTTCTACTGCCCAGAAAACTAGTCTAAACAAGTCTAAAAACAAATATACTGAAATACTAGTCACTGCTAGTATTTCAGTATATTTGTTTTTAGACTTGTTTAAATGTATATACACACAGATTACATACACAGATGTATTTATAGGTAGGATTTTTTAAATGAGATCAAACTATGCCTAATTTTGTAAATTTTCATCTCAAATATAATTTAATGTCAACAAATATCTATCATAGTTTTAGTTGCTCCATAGAATTGTTATGTTAATACATCATTATTTAGACTCCTGTTAATAGACTTTTTGTTTCCAATTTTTTGCTATTATAAATAATGTAATGATAAAATCCTTAGTATATGCATCTTTTTATACTATTCCGATTATTTCTCTAAGAAAAATTTCCAGTAATCAAGTTACTGGGTCAAAAGATATACAGTGACATGTTATTAAATGAAAATATCACGCTATCTCTTTACCTTCATTGTCACTTGAGACTACATAAACATTTTATTTCTCTCTTCACCACTGCTTTGACAAGAGAAATTCCATTCTGAATGCAAAAGGGAGGAAGCATTGTTGTGTGCCAGGAGCTGGCTTTGTGGGCTTTTTCATTTAATTCTCACCATTCTATAAAATAGTATTAAATGAGGCATATTAGAAGTGTTATAGGAGTTTACAGCTAACTTCCAGCAGGTAACTGAGAGTAATTAGATAACTTCTAGCAGGTAGCTGAGATTAATAAATATTAGCATGCTATAATAATAATAATAATAATAATAATAATGGCTACCATTTATTGAGCACTTACTATGTACCAATTGCCATACTAGGTGCTTTATGTATGTTCTTATTTAACCCTACAAAAGCTCCAAAGTCCATGTACTTGCGTTTTCTCCTTCAAGCTTTGGTTCCATATCTGCATCCAAGTTCCTGTGCCTTTGTTAGGTGGCAAATTCCAGAGGACAGCGACTCGCTTTTAATCAGTTTTTGAATCACCTTAAACGTGCAGTTACATTGGGCAAGTGTCCGTAGGAATGCTTTATTATTATGATGGTCATGAAAATCAAAGAAGATTTTTACGGCTTATCTTTTTGACTTTTTAATTTATAAGTGAGCTTCTATTTGATAAAAAAATGTCTATTTTTTTTTTTTTTAATTTTACAATTGCAGATATGGAGAAACCTTTAGGCCACCAGAGGGCATTGCAGTTGTCTTCCTGTATCATCTTTATTATAAATCACTGCTGTCAGAGATGCCTAGTGAAGTTTGTTCCCAATGAAAAAAAGAAGCATTCTTAGACTCGAGCAGTCTGAATAGGAACTGTGGCTTTAACTTGGCGGACCACTACCTTGAAGCACCCTTTAATCTATACAAGCAAAGAATGGAGTAAGCTGTATTTTTGCTGAAATCATATTTTTTACTTTTTCCTTTCCTCAAGCCTATGCTTATACTTTTAATTTGTCATCCATGATTTATAATCTTCTCTTGCCAGATAATAGAGCCAGTAGCTCTCAATATCAATAGAAATTAAAGTCAGAGAAACAAAGGACCCAGTTCTTGGCCAGTAGCATCCATCTCTTTACTGGTCTTTATTGACACTAATAAAAACTGGCAAAATTGACTGATCCACAGTTGAATAATTCTGTTTATTCTCTGCTAGAAGTGCCATTAGGCAGGAAAATGATTAAAAGGCAGAGCAGGAGGCAGAAGAGGTAGAAGGCATTTTGACAACGCATGTATTTAAAAATCAATTCGAATCCTTACTAAAGTGATTTTGATGTAAACAGGTAAATCTTTCCACATTGTTTGAAATAAATATTATAAGTGTTGCGGCTTCTATGTTGTCGCCAACTAGAGCTCTTATTGACCTGCGCTCCGGGAGCAGTTGAGATATTAATTTATTTCACAAATATTTATTGAATACCTTAGTACCAGGCACCTGCTAAGCACTGGCATATAGATATGAATAATAACTAATCTTTATATGGTGCTTTGCGGTTTATAAAAACAGTCTAGCATCTGTTGCTTTCTTGGTACTCATTTCATACCTCTGAGATGAATTGGACAAGTGATATATCCATTTTATAGGTGTGGATACTGGTGCAGAAAGGTTAAATGACTTATTTACACAGTTACACCGCCAGTAACAGAGTAGGACTGAAAATAGGTCTTCTGACCAAGTCCCATCCTGTCCCACAGCACCATGCTGTCTCCTAGAAGAAGTGAGCCTATTATTCAAGCAACTTGGGTATAATACTCCAAGGGACCCAAAGTTAGACATAGATATGTTATAGTCCCTTGGTGGTTTTGATTGTTTAGTTTAATAAGCAACTTTGCAAATAAATTCAAAAGCTTATCAGTACTATTTTTTTCAAAAATAGAAGGTAGATACAGTGTGCAGGCATTTAAAAAAAATAGATTCATTTTTACTACCTGGTTGACATATTTGCTAGGAATTTAACTCTTTCAAGTCTATGAGTCCCCACATCTTTCC